ATATATATTATTTATTTATTTTTTACCAACAAATACTGTTTTAAGATCCTCCTGGCAGCAAACAAAAAAAGCCCAAACAAAATGTTGGAATCAGGAAAGTCTCCCTAATACCACGTTGTTTGTCAATATTGTCATGCATATAGATTCACTGGGACAAATAAGATTTTATTATTAGCCATAGCAACTAGCTGCTACTTTGATGAAATTTAAAAGACAGCTAACATGGCTAGTGAATAATTTATAATTGTTAAAAACCTATGTTTGCTGTGTGTGCTGACCAGGCTGACATTTAGTGATTCTATTTATGACTCACTGTTGTTACAACAGGAGCTTTACTGACCCATTAAGTGTTATTCAGTGATGCGCACATCAACTCCTGTTCATGAGTTCAGCTGCTACTCAGGGGAGGAGAGTGCCTGTCTGTCTGCAGCAGTGCTGTGTGATGAAGTGTGTCAGCTGGAAGAGGTGAAGACACTTTGTATCCATATTGTTGCAAATAATTATCTAATCCAGTAGTAATGGTCACTTTATTATTGTGTCACAAGTGTTTGTCACAATGTGTAACAAGTCTAGCTTCTTGTGAAAAAATGTTTCTAGATTAGACTCTTAAGTAATGTTAAGAACGAGATAAATATCACAAAGTGCTTCACATCAAAAATGTTTAAAGAAACAAATCCAAACAAAAATTATACAAAAGCGAGCCTAAAAAGAGTTCTAGATGAGTTTCAGGTACATTTCACAAGACATCACTGAGTCCAGATCTCAGGCTCAGTAGGAGAGCAAGAAAAAAAAGTTACTGAACAGGTCATCTACTGCTTTCCAAAAGTGACTATACGTGACTATAATAGTAAGTTCCAGTTTTTTGTATTCAACTTCATGCTTCTTTATAGAAGAACATACTTTCTGTCTAATAAGATTGCACATCTAAAGCAGTGTTTTAGCATACGACCTTGTTAGCATGGCAGGCTAAAATCCCATGCTATGTGAAAGCAAAGTATAAAAACTATTTTTTTACTCCACACTATATATTTTATGTTTACTCATTAACTCATCGACCAGTGTCTCAGTCAATTGTTGGCTTTTTTGTTGTAACCTCGGCTTCTGTCTCCTCCTCTTTTTCTCTCTGACTTACTTTGCGTATTTACAGGTAGTATTAAAAATCGACGATCCTCTTACCTACTCGCCATCACCACTGAGAGATCCAGGTCCTGTGATGAAGGTCTCAACACCTTCAGGGAAGAAAGCCCTGTCTTCTCGTAAGTCGAGAATCCTGGAAATGAAATTTGATGGCTTTGTGTCATTCCAGATATGAGGCCATTTTCCACCTCAGAGACTCAGTTGAACTTTTTTTGTGATTTGTGTGTCCACTACATAGGACATAAATGAATGTCCAGGTCAGGAGGTTAAAGTGGTTTTTACAGAGTAAAAGTCAAATTGTGCAACAATTAGAACACAACTGATGTCATAGAGAAATAAATAATAACATAAATAACAAAAGTACGTCAACAGAAGTTAACTTTTTAACAGAGCTGGAATGAGCCCTGGTGCCACAGACTGGCTTAAGTCTTGTACAAGGGACAACTAATAGATTTTGAGCTTATGAGCTAAGACAGCGAACAGCAGTGTACTTAACAATTAGTTCAGATATGTAGTCTGGACTCAGTGCTCCCTGTGGTCGCTCACAGTGGAGATGTCCACTGTGAGCGACCATCTTTGAACAGAGGCGGGGGTTTACGACACCAACTCTTTGCCATCTATAATCCAGTTTTGAGATCCCTTCCCAGACGCCTTAACGCCCACTCACATCCTGGGCCA